GTAATGGCAGTGGCAGAACTGCTGAATTTTTTATTATGGATTCCAGCGACCGGCAACTGGCGGCCGGCAGAAACTTCGGGGGCAACTCCGGTGGGGTGGTCTTGTCCTAGCTTCAAAGAAAACTCCTATTTGGGGAATTCTACAAACTCACTCCTAGTTTTGCACTTTTTATATGTCAGCTCCTATTTAGAGAATTGTCTAATAAGTATAAGTAGATATACCTATTATTAGTGAAACTGCCAACAATTTCTCTTGCCTTAAAAGGAAATTAAAATTTTACATGACATCTTGAATTAGTCTCTAACAAAGGCAAATGCAGATAAATTGAGATTATCAAAATGTTCATTAATAAAGGCAGGTGGTTCAACTATACTAATTCATTGACATAAAGTTATTTGGACTTAGGAACATAGAATCTACTACATAAAACATCACTTGAACTTACAAATGATAAATAAATTAGCCTTCAACAAATGCCTAAGCAAGAAAAAAACAAAAATCACCAAAATCTCCCGTAAAAAAGAAAATGGTTAAATTATGTTCATTCGTTGAATGAAATTATTTCAGGCTTGCTACAGAAGTAGAAGTCGAGAATGAAACATTACTGTAACTTAGAAAAAATTAACAAATTCTGACTAAAGTTTAAAAGTTCATCGGTGGTAGAAAGGTGGGAAAGTCCCTTCTTCTTAAATGAATTTTAATGCTTATGCTTAAAACTAATACCAAGTATATCCAATGAATGGGCTGACAATCTTGAAGAATAGAAAATGAAAGGGACCCAACCATGAATCATAATGCCTTGAAAGAATTGCAGAACTTCATTTTCATTTCTAAGTACGCAAGGCTTAATTATCTGGTTGCTATTGAGGAAGCAACTTACAAATTGGAAGCCTTTGTTTTAAACAGGCTGTGATGATGCCACAAATTGTAGCAGGGATAGAGAAAGTACTCACAAGAAAATGCTACATAAGAAATGGAAAGTGTAATGCTCAGATGAAGGAACGGAGAAGGGGACTTGAAAAGTATGTGGCTGGGTAGGTGTAAAGAGGGAAAATGAAGGATTAATAATTTTGTTTGACGGGTAAGGTACGGCGTTTGTCAACATGCAAATAAAAATTGACAGATTAGTAACGGTAAGACACGGCCGTTGAAAACGAAGTTAGGAAAGTGCAACAAAGAAAACATTATGTACATTGAGTTGATGCATCAGTAGACACGAACATTTTTCACATGCCCATTATGCCCTTAACAATATTCCCTCTTATAATATTGTAGAGATTTTTATTTTTATGTAATCTAAAAATTTTACATCGACAAACAAAATAAATTTTCATCGCAAGTATATATTTATAAACTTATTTCGAATTAATAAAAAAAATGAATTACGATGAGTTAAGGCGGTACACAACTTTTGAAAACAAAACTTCGTTATCTTTTTATAAACAATTTATACGCTTAGTTCACGACATATTCATTTCATTTTTATTTTATTTTATTTTATTTGTTCTAAACTTGCATTTTTTATATTATATGTTTGATGCCCCAATCATTGTATCAATGTAAATAAAATGACATTCTTTTAGTAAACTTTTAATTTTGGTTTCATATATATTTGGTTTTAGATTAAAATTGAACCGAGAAAACGGAACTCATCCATACCTGAAAGATAATAATGATGTGGGGAATGTGGAAGATGTTGAAGATAAACAACATTTTAATTTTGAAGTTAACAGGGCCTATGGCGAAAAACAACTGCTCCCCTCTTTTGAGAAGCTTCAACCCCAAGCACCATTTCTTCTGGCTTACTCTGATGCATCAGACAGCTTTTAGCATTCTGACGACTTTTTCTACACAAACGATTTTCTAGGACATGCTACTGAAAGTGACCGTCCTCCTATATCAAACCAGGAAGAAATTAAGAAGTCCAAATTCAACAAGCTATTTACAGCCGTAAATCTAAGTTCGTCACACCTGAAAACTGTCTGTCAATAGACAACCTAAACACACAACTCAAACTATACAGAAAATCTCATAAAAACAAAAGGCGCCACTCTATGAGGACTAGATCACAGTCCAGAGATTTCTCTTGGGTCTAGTTTTTGTCTTTTTATTTTGTTTATTGTATTTTTTCTTTTTTCTTTCTTATTTCCACTTCACACATTGTACTATTTACTTTTATCAATAAAATCAATTTTCTTTCGAAAAAAAAAGTGATGAAGATAAAAATGGTTAAAGTTAAAAGATGATGAAGATAAAATATGTTGCATTTGTAAGAAGATGGAAATGATGATGGTGAAGATGATGAAATTGTGAAGGTTTAAGCTATTACGAATGGGAGGAGGGGGTAAAAAGAGAATACGTAAGAGTGGGAATCTAAGGTATAGTGTCCGCCAAATGTGTATACATTTTTTGTATACCAAAAATCTGGTGTCATTCATTTTTATCAAACACGTAACTTTTGATTTCGTGCGCTAAATCGTGTAATAATCAAAATTAAGTAAAATTGAAAGTTACTTTTGTGATTGAATTATCTGAAGTTACTGTAAAAGATGATTTTAGCTAAGTTATATATATATTTCATTATTTTATTGATAAAATATAAATTAATATAATTTTTTAAACATCAACAGATTTAACCAATTCAATCATTCAGTAAATTCTGCCAAAACTTCATAAATTTCAACATATTCGGTCATTTAAGGGCTACTAAACACCCTCCAAATAATGTTCTATTATTATCCGAAATGTAGACGGGTCATGGTTGGAGATGGCTCCACTTCATAATTGTAATGAAAGAGACATAAATTATATTTTATTGTAAACTCAATTTTTCGACATATCACATGTAAGATATTGCAGGCCCTACAAATAAATTACGTAGGCTTACGTTGATAACAACTACTCAAACGCCAAATTGATCGTCCAAAAAAACTATGCTTTTCCGTCACCCGCACTTCACCTATAGCTCATGTAATCGTATCAACGTATATATCCGCCATAATTACTTCTTAAATAGTTAAATTAAAGGACCTGAGGTAGCCACATTTCAAGCCTAGCTATTAATGGATCAATGGAGTTTCTAAATTTGGTTGCTACTTCTTAAATTAGGTTGTTGTTTGCCCATATTTAACTCCGATCTCATTAATGTTCGAAATGACGTAATAGTATAATATATATAAAATTCACATGATAATGCAATTGGGGAACATAAATTTCCAATTCCAATATTTTAAAAATGTATACTCCCTCATTCATATTTTCTCACTTTCCTTTTTTGGACGTAACATTTATATCTTCACATTTCTAAATCTTCCCATCATACCCTCAATAATTTAAAAAATAATACACTACCACAACTATTTTTTTGGATTTATCCTTCATTCCATCACATTATTTCACCATCTTCCCATCATACCCTCAATAATTCATATCCCATTTCACTATTCTTAATCTCACCCACTTTGGAAGTGGGAAGATATACTACGTATATGATACGGAGGGAGTATTTTCAAACTTTAGTATATGTTTTTATCTCGTATATATTATTTGAAAAAAAAAGGATGACACCCCATCCCTGAGGGCCCCCCAACACCGACCGGACGACACGATGGGAGGATGTATATTGGACTATAATCACAATCTGGCAGATAGAGAGTGGGGCTCTGTCCCCGGTACTTACAGAGGTCCTATGCATTTTTCAGCATAGTAACCCCTCATCGTAGTTGACGGGATTCGAACCCGAAACCTAACCCTTGTGGCACTCCCTCACTACCAGTTGAGCTACGTCCACCGGTTCTTATATATTATTTGGGCTCTACCAAAAGCATACATGTATTCTTTATTGAACGATATTTGATCATATAAAATGGAATTAAATTAAAATTACATCAAATAAAATAAATGGACTTGTTTCTTGTACCACACTTATTCATTTTTATTGTCAATCTTTTGATACAAAAATATATCCACATAACAATCTTTTGAATACTCTAAAGTCTAAACTAATACCCGTAGTTACTTGCTTAGTATAAAATAACGTTATGTACATATGGTTAAATTTTTCATTACAACCCATAATTCCTTTTTACTAAAAACATACTCCATCCGTCCCGAATTGTACGACACTTTACGGTTTACGATGTTTGATCGATAAAGCAAACCGATCCCTTTACGTACTCAAATTATTTTTTGAAAAGAAAATTACATATTCAGAGACTACATTTAATAAAGATTTAATATGTAAAGTAAGAGATTAAAAGTGATTTAAGTTGACCAAGTGAATAGGAAAAGTGTCTTGCAAAATGAGACTTGCAAAATGAGACTGGGGGAGTATATAGGAAACATCTTGAAAGCTAACTGGTTTTAAATTTTCTAGTCGTATTATGCAAGTGAGTAAATTTGGACATTCCAGTTAACCGACCATAAGCATTAACCGCGGGTACAACAAATTTGAAAAAAATCTAGTACAATTAATAACAGAAACACCCCGGTATTCCCGGTTTTTTTAGGACATCTTCACCCATTAGATTATTAAGGAATTAAGATAGTTATATGATAGATTATTTGAAGATCATGATTGGTCACAAAGATTATTTGGTGATATTATCTCAAGAAGTGAAGCAAGTATTAATCAGTGTCAGACTCACAAAAGATCTAATTTTTTTGAGATGATGAATGATGTAATTTAGAAGGTTTGACTTGTGAGCTTATTTTTAAGATGTCCTTAAAAATCTACTCCGTATGTCTTTAAAATATCTGTTTATTTAAATGGGATGAATGTGGATACTTTTAGTTTGGTAAGGTTTTAACCTTAGTCGGGAACAAGATTTTGAGGACCAGATTTGAACCTACTCATTCAACCCGATCCTATTATAATTCCTTAATTATGTATGTGAGCTTAATTGATTAGTTCCAGCTTAATGATAAAAGAAACTAAATATCATGTTTTAATTTGGAAACCTTGCATACCGGCACACATCATTCTCATACTCACCTCTCAACCCAATATATGCTAGTTCAAGATCGATTGAGGATGTTTTCTTTTGGACTGTTTTCAGTCCCAGACCAGACCGGACTTAAACAGATCAGACCAGACCAGACCAGACTTAAACAGACCAGACGAGTTCAGACCAGACCAGACTTAAACAGACCAGACCAGCAAATTTCAGTCCAAAAGAAAACATCCTGATTGATTCACGATCAAATTAGCCGGTTCTGATATGCTATTGCAACGGGTCTATTTGTACCTGTGACCGGAAGAAGAGGAAAGAGAGTAGAGGGTCACAATTTTTTTGGGACAAAAAGAGACAATTGTGAAGAATTAATGAGTCAAAAATACACAACAATTTATGAATATAAATTTAATGTCCATAAGAATGAATAAAAGTTTGAAACACCTAAACATTTTAAACTTTTAAAAGTCTACACTCAATACAACCAAACTATTAAAATTGATGAAACCTTTAAAAAAATTTATTTCTAATTTCTTATACAATATACAATCCGAAAATTGTGTTACCGTTTATTTAATTTACTAGCTTGGACGCGCGTTGCGCGACGAACGATGCCCAATGATGGGAAATAAACAAAAAGTTGCGTAAATGCATCCCAAAAGCAGCAAAAGAAACGAGTTCAATGTGTCAATTACATGAAAACAGTCATTAAGCATTGCAGATTCACAATCATGATGTTTCTAACTTAAAGCCTAGATTAAACTTCACATCAAATTTAAAATAATTGTGAGAAATAGTACACACTTTCCCTGCAATGGCTGGGGGTTTCATAAAGGTTGTTTCTTCTTCTTCCTCACAGACAAGAATACATTAGAAAAGAAACATTTCAAAACTATGAAATTGTTCTAACATGGAAAATGAAAAAATGGTGATAAGAATTTGTACAGATAAATTAATACATTAGAAAAGAAACATTTCAAAACTTACAGCTTGGCCACTGCCAATCAAAGCTTTGATAAATACTTGATTGAAGAGCACATCCAGTTTGTTTTGTTCTTCACCCTATTTTTAAATGTAAACAAGTTCAGAAACAATGAAATAAAGTAATATAATAACAACCGAAAGAGGAAATCATAGATCAGTAGCATGAAGGATGATCTCTATAAACTTGCCTATACATTAGTCTCCCCAGCTAGGCCTATGAGTTTTGCCAAATACCCAGGCAACTGCCTCCATGAGTTTATCCATACCAACCATATCCCAGATCTGCATACGACATATATTTCTTTATCAGGTCAATAATATGGTAGTATAATATTAGTAGTTAATAAAAATCACATATTGTACATACATGATACATTATTGCTAAAAATAACAAGATCCCAAATCTCATCTGGTTTAGTCCGCCATTAGCATTCTTCAAAATATTCCAATTTGTCTTTCCATCTAATCCTGCAAAGAAATAAATTATAATAACAATAATAGTAACACTAAAATCAGTAACAAATGATATTAGATGAAGATCGAATTTGTAACAGTTTAAGTATATTAAATATTGAAGTCATTTACAATACAGACTTCTGACAAATAAACTTAGAAAATGCAGAACTTAATAGACTTAGAAAATGCAGAACTTCTGAAATATTCCATATTAGTGCCATTCATCGGTGAATGTCAATACAATAAAGTGCATATACTGAAATTTCAATATATATTTCCACACCTGACAAAACACCCGTATTTCATTTTGATATGGAGTACAAGTAATTTATCTTCTCCTTTTTTGTTTTTGCCTATTTTAAAAGCAAATAGCTTGACTGGACATGCTTCTTATCAAAAAGTGATCTAAAGTTGGATACATTTTCAAACAACTCCAAATGTTTAAGCATTACTGTTGTTCTCATACTAATCTAATATCTGAAAGCAGCTACTGCTCTGCAGACTGCAGGTACACATCCAGTGAAGCCAACCCATACAGACAATTATAAAAAGAGAAAGATAATGTTTTTTCACTTAAAAAAGTCTGCCCTTTTAACTAATTAATACATCTGATTTTGATTTGAGCTAAGCCATGTGAGACTCCCATAAAGCCGGCCCCATTTTCTAATCACAACAGCATACCTAAACTGGCAAGAGGAAAGTGGAAACCTATCATGGAACCTCCTATAAATGAATCCTAACAACACTCTTTCTTTCCAACTGTCAGATCCATTCCGACATCTGACAAACACTCCACTCTCAAAAGAGCTCAGCTCAAACTTCCATTCCGAATAAAACACAAAGAGCAAATAATACATATGGCTATCAGATTGCCATATATACCAACAAAATAGAGTTTGACAAACATTCAAGAAGAGTGAAACAATTCCAAGTGATGAACGTAAACATACCCTTGAGAGTGCGACTTGTCTAGTATTGAGATTGCTTCAATGGCAACACAAGCTACCATTTGAATCGACTTCCTGATTAAAGGAAACGAGCATGTTGTAATAGATGAGAGAAGCACGAAACATTATGTTTATGTTAAGCAAGTTAATTCCATATGTCAACCATACAAGCAAATCATCACACAATAATATGAATTATGAGATGAGATCGCCAAATTTTTCCTTCTTAAGCAATTGTGCACTTCACAAAGTTATGTTGAAAGCCTCAAAGTGAGTTACAGCAATATGCAAATATGGTCAAAGCATATATTTAATGCTAAGTCATTCAAAAGATTAAAAGGTAGTCTGAAATTTCTATCGGATCCAGCAACGAAAAATTAAACACAAAACAAAAATACCATCAAGCACATGCCATCAGAAAAGAGAAAAGAAGAGCTAGTTGACCTCATATCAAGTTCACTAAAGCTGTGAAACTGTCCATCTTCTAATTCTTTGATCTGGGGCATTCATGTATACTTCAACCATTAATTGCCAGTTACAACTTGAAATAAAATTCCAGCACAAATTAGAAATTGTAAACACTCGTACTCGACGAAACCAGGGAAATGTAGCTAATGCCCTGACCTAAAAAAAAGTGAACCTTCATGAGAGAAATTTCAGAAGCACACCAGGTGTGGAGAGGTGATGAGCTTCTAAACAAGAATACTAACCCCTTCACAGTCATTATCCAGATAGGCATAGACCAAACAAAAACTTGTATTAACGTTTCACAGAGTATAAGTGGAATTGGAAAATAGAAGAAAAGGGGGAAATAATGTGTAATAAATGAGCAAAGAGCTAACCAAATCGTTTGGGGTGCAACCATCAAGCGGGAATATGGAGGCAGGAAGTGGAGAGATCGGACAGCGAGTGGAGTGGTATGAGACATGAGCATCCCACTAAAGATATAGCTCTGAACAGTCGATTAGTGGAGTGATCCATTCCGATTGATTTGCATAACTCTATAATGACCAGTGATTGTCCCTAGCCAAGAATCATTTTCCCTTCATTAATTTATTTATACCACATTAGTGCAAGAATCAAATATGAAATGTGACGCCAAATCAATTCAAGAATCTGAAATTGCTTAGTTCAAATTTTCTGCTTCTTTTCTAATGTATCGAATTTCCTAGTATTTCTCTATGCTTAAATTGCTTTTTCTTTTCTCATTTAGTATGTTAAATCTGACTTATTCTAGTTACACAGTAAAAAAAATCTAAAGTAAACAATATCATGACGCTTTAATGTACGAAAATATCACCATTTCCTTGTTTTCTAAGTTCACTTTTACTTGTGCCTTACATATCCTTTAGTAGGAAAAAGGAATTTTGTAGAGGAGATTGAAATGCATCCTTTTCATAGGATAAATAGAAGATGCCAGGTCGGGGCACTCCACTGATGCTTAATAAGATGAAAGCCTAAAAATTGATATAACTATTCTATTTTTAACTATTTAACTAAAGAGTTTGCGAAAATAACTAATTAATTGAAGAGTGCACCAGCTACTTACAGGATTTGGTGTGTGCGCGTTTAACCTACATATTGAGAAGATCTCTTATACTTCAACAAAAGCTAATGATAAGAGAAAAATAAGTTGTAGAACCACCTTAACTTTTATGCTGCCAACATTTCAACAAACAGATATGAATGTTTCAATATGAAACTCACAGTGCCAAGGAAAATAGCTGAAAAAACTGCTGGTTGTACCCGAATAACCCTTATCTGTCTTCTTCTTCCTGGAATCACAAGCAAGTGAGCCTACAGTATGCCAGCCCGCCACTCACTAAGCACGCTGCACGCCTCCACCTCCACCTTGGATAAATCACCACATTGAATAAACATTAAAACATAAATAATACTCCGTACAATGATACAAAATAACTTATTCGACAAAAACACAACCATAGACTAATGGATCATCCATAATAAATAATCCTTCAAAATCAACTAACCATAAAACAAAACTACCATAGCCTACAGAAAAGCTATTACACATCAATAAGTTTAAGTTTAGCAAAAAAACAATCAAAATGGGTTTCTACAGTTAAACTATTACACATCAATAAGTTTAAGTTTAGCAAAATAAAAACCTAGTTTTTTTTTAGGGAATAAAAACCTAGTTTTAATCAAACAGTTTGTCAATAAAAAATACATAGGTCATTAAGAGAGAATGTATACATTAGCATGGATTTCTTGAAATCTGCCTACTGCACTTCTTGTTTGATCTTGAATTTAAGTTTCTTCTTCTGCCCATTGGTTTAAAATTCATCAACCAGCTTCCTCTTGATCTGGTCATCAACAACAACTTCTTTCTGCGACTTAAGAATGGTTGTTACTACATCGCCATCGTTCTCAACAACCTGTTTATTAGTTAAAAAAGAAATATAGCTAAGGACTTGTTTAAGAAGAAACAAAAAACGCTATGATAGAATATAGTACCTGATTTGGCCTAAATGGCAAGTATAATTTACTCAGAGTTTGATACATAGGTATCCAAACAATCATCCAAGTTAAATGCCGATATCCCGCCCATTTAGCAGCAAGCCGATCACCTATCGCTCACGCTGCACAAATCAGAGTAATCGGGACCCTCGTTGCCACATAGGATCCTCACCTTCCTTCTGATCCATGGGCCTCCTAGATAACAACCTTACCTAAAAAAGAAATGAAATAGAAACAGAAGAGAAGCAAAATATGAGAATAAATAAGCCTTTTTCCAGGGAAAAAAATAAGCATGCTATATAATGAAGTAAATTAAAATGAGAACCAGTTAGTTGAACGAAAAATTGAAATAGAAAAGTAAGATTTGAATATAAGAATGTAAGTATCAAATGACTTTCTTTCATGCTCGGCAAGCTTTGGACAATGAGCAAGTAAAAAAAACATATACCATGAAATCACATATAACTGAAAGCATCACTCCCCTCCACAGCCTCTGAGATATGACAAATGTATTTGGAAGAAATGAAAAACAAATAAGAAATGATGTACTTATAAAAACAATAACATACATGATTATTGAGGGATAAATGAAGCAAATAAATAAAGATAAAGATGCTTCTAACCCGTTGAGTTGAGCCCTAAGTTTTGCTAAAGGGTTTACCAAAACCCAGGGAAACAAGAGGTATTCACCAGAATGAAAGCAAAATAAAAGCCATAGTGATTGCTGTTCTTACAACCTTCTTGATCTCGGTTGTCTTCGCTTCTTGCTTCGTTGTCTTCCCTTCTCACTTGTCTTGCCCTTTGCTTCATCCATCTGTATATGTTTTTGCATGCATTCTTGCCTGCGAAACCTACATAATCATTACAAACGAGACAACAAGACGGTTCGTGATAACATTTTGATGTCCCGATCATATCCCTCTTTAAACCGGTACGGAACCGTGCGAAACAAAATGATTAGGTCCCAAAGAGAACATGACAACACCAATACGATTCGGAGATATATTGTAATGAGACAACGGGACCGAGATTCCTACCAACCCCTAGATATAAGTAAGAATTCGGGACTAAATCTAAAACACATAGAACATATCACAATGCCAAAATGTGAAAACCACAGTCTAACTAAAAGAGAATTATCCATAAAATCAAACATCACACCTCACAAAGATGAGAAATTATACAATTTCATCCTCAGTTCGAATGGTAAAACCATGATGGCCTTCTAGCATTTGTTTATATACAATAAATTCACAATCAGATGTCAATAAAAGAGACTGTCAATCATGTATTGTTGGTATTAGGCGTTTGAGAAAAATTCATGCATCTTGGACCTACATCGCAAGAATTTAGTGTATTTCTTGATAGTAAATTAAAACTACAACTCAAAACATGTATGGATATCACCAGGATAGAACTGCAGAGAGACGGAATTCTGCTGCAAACCACGGTGCGAGACCCAAACAAAGGGCATGTGTTATTCCAAACCTCGGGTTGGCAAAACCAGAAACTAAATTAATCTTCAGTGATAATAATTAGAACTGAACAAGAACTATAAAGAAAATCCATATAATTTGAATAAAAGAAAATCGTGTTCTTGATATCGATTGATATGGCCGCAGCAGAGTCCATCGTAGCAGATGAGAACCCTACCTAGAAACAGAAGAGAAGCAAAATAGGAGAATAAATCTTAGCTAAGAGGCGATGATTACCAGGGCATCGATGATACTCGTAGACGCTGGGCAGCTTGGGGGAAGGATTTTTTCTAACCCTAACTCTGAATCGGAAGTCCGAGGAGCGCAGAAACGAAATGAAGTGTTTGGCATCCCAAACATATATATGTCGAAGCCCATTCATACACTGGAACAAGAGAAAACGGTAACAAACAGGAGCAAGCATCGCGGTTAGCTTCAATGGCGCTGAATAGGAGTTTCCGTCGACACTGTATAAACGGAAATAGGCCAACTAATTGTCTTAGGCATTTAATATATATAGTAAGATTTAGACCGATGCCGTAGATATCCAAAGTTTTTTGAGACGTTAATTTATTTTGGTCAAAATTTGAAAGACCCATCATGATATAGCCATATTGGAAGTAGCAAATAGACTGAATTTGAATACATACATTTTAAAATAATACCATGGTCTTTATTCAAAAAAAAATAATACCATGGTCCATGGAACTAAAACAGTTTGTCCGATCTTAATTATGGGGCTAACAAAATTAACTAGAAATCAACGACACACACGTATATACATATGAAGCATTAAAATGATTAGACACCATTAATTAAGAATCAACTCTTTTATCATCTTCCAATACAAACAATATAATACGATTACGACCCATGCATGACCCATCTAAGAATCAAAAGCACCAATTTTGGGATCGAAATCCTTTGGCAGAAGTGTCAGGCACACAACGACCGTTGGATGGAGCAAATGAAGGCTCGAGATTAATTTGTGACCTACATCGATCATTACTATTTTGATTCTATCGTCCGAGTCATGCACGGCGCTTGAATAATCATATCCCCTCGTGAAAGCAATCCAAGCCAAGTATCCAATGGTGTGATTTTTTTTTTTTTTTGAATTAATCCAGTTGAAATATGATTCTTCTAAGAAAAAATTAAATAGGGGTGAAAGTAAATAAAAATGGAGATCGAGCTTAAGCAGTATTAATATGTTTTATATTGAACTTGTATAAAACGTAGTAGATGTTTGTTTTATGTGTATATATTACAACTATTAAAGTCTGATCTAATTGGTCCAATTAGGGTTAGTTTGATCTATTTAGCACTGATCTGGGAAGTAATCGAATTAAAAACAAAAAATTACTTCATCTGTCCCACCTAACAATGAGACAATATGGAGCGACACACAAATTAATAAAAAGTAATTTGTTTTGTTGATATTGAACTAAAAACTGAAAAGTAAGAATAAAGCAAGAATGATTTATAGTCACATAAACTTTACCAAATTTGATACTCCCTCCGTTCTTTTTATTAGTCCTTCTTTCTTTTTTGGGAAATTTTTTTTATTTGTCTCATTTCCCTTTAAGGAAAGTTTTTGAGAAAATACCCCCACTTTTATTACTTTTACCCCACTTACTTTTTACAAACTACTTTCTCTTTCCTACTTTATCATCACTTTACTCTTCTTAATACACTCTCTTTCTTACTTTATCATCACTTTACTCTTTTTAATATACCATCTTTCCTACTTTATCATTTACCCTACACTCTATACTTACCCTACTACTTTATTATTAAATCTCGTGTCAAACCCTAAGGGGACTAATAAAAAAGAACGGAGGGAGTATGAAACAATCTTAGTGGGACTCATCAAAAATGTAAAATGCAAAAATCTTAACTGGACAGAGATAATAGATAAATAATGGTGTAAGTTCTTGCTAGTGATGGCAACGGGGCGGATCGGGGACGGGTACACATAAAACCGAAACCGCCCCGTTGGATAAATGTTTGCCCCAAAACCGCCCCATTACCCATTCGGGTAATTTTTATTTGAACCGTACCCGCCCCAACGGGGAATCGGTTTATCCACGGGTAACCGTCCCCCCAAATGATGTCAAATAACCATTTTTTCGGAAAATAAATAACCAATTTCTAATTCTACTTGTTATTTATATATTCAAAGCACCCTAAAACATACAAAAGTAAATATTTAAGCAATCAAGCAGACTGACCTAAATCCATTGGTATGACATGCTCCTAATATCTCTTGTAACATAATAAAAAAGTAATAACTAGTAATCATCCCAGAATCCAAATTCCAGAAACAGGTTTAGGCCTATATTTAGTTTTAGGCCTAAAAAGTAGTATACTTTTTAACATTATTTATATGATATATACTACGTAGTATTTAGTATACACAATTTAGCATATATACTTCATTAATATATATAATGAAGTATATATATTAATATATATAAAGTTATAATTCATTAATAATGTTACGGATCGGGTAACGGTGCGAGTACCCGCACCATTAGTGAACGGGGCAGTTACAAACCCTCTCGAATTGAGAATTCGTACTTGCACATAACGGACTATAAATACATTTTCATCCCTTAAACTTTGACTTTATTGGTCAAACTTTGACCAGTGATCCTAATTCATATGGAGTATATATTTTTTTGTGAAAATTACAAGATTTAAATTTCTGGAAGATCTAGTATGTTTCAGAAAGGATACTTCAATTCATTCCTCAATTCACACACAAATATAGAATTCGAAAGTTAAATTTAGCCGAGAAAGTCAAAATGACCAGGGAGAAAGTGTAGTACGCAAAAATGATGATTATCAACCTCAACTATATTAATAAATCAGTGTGTATATTTTGATCTACAATATATATTCGTATATGAAACATATGGCCTTCTTTTCTTTAAACTATGAAGGAGAAAAGCTAGCACTAATCATTCCAGCACAGAAGCAGCACCGTACATTTCCAGATAATGTACAACCTCGCTTTGTGCTCTCTAATCTGCTTACTCCCGAGCCTCCACGAAGACCGCATTTTTGACGACGAAGACGACGACCCGTCTCTTCTTCTCAGTGAGTGCTGCATTTTCGATCGCTTGTTCTGAACCTCGGGTGTTATATTAAGATCTTGAGCTACTTCTTCTCTTCTGGTTACGATAGATATCTTGAGCTTGATGATGAGATGATGATGATGAGTGGGCGAGTGATAGATATATATAGAGGAGGAGGAGGAGACCGATGGGGCTGAGGAGGGAAGAGCAACGTGTGGTGGGAGATTAGAGACGCAATTCCTGTTAATGGCGAACCAAAGAATTAATTTTTTTATGATCAAATTTTGTCCGGTTGTCAACCCGACCCGGCTGCATGAAAGGGACGCCGGAGCGACTTATAATAGAGACATGCTGTATAAAGAGAGGGGCCATCGCTGTCTCGTGCATGCATATGTAAATATTCCTCTCTTCGAACAATCCATTATTCAACCGTCATTTCATCTTCTCATTCTTCATTGCCCGCCACTCCTTTTTGTGTGTGAATAATTATGTCTACTACTAATCACTCATTAACCATTTCCCTAATCAACGATATATATATATATATATATATATATATATATATATATATATATATATATATATATATTTCAACTTATTCATCAATTAGTTTAGCATCATTCTATCGTATGTATAGTATAAACAAGAGGTCATGACATATCATTGACGAGCTTATATATGTTATTATCTAAATTACTTAGCCTGCCGTTTAATCATGTAGGTATTCATGCTGCATGTGTAGTGTTACAATTTAAGGGTCCAATGTTTTATATATACGTCGTCTTTATATTATGAATGGAAATTTATTATTATATGAGGTTATATATCATGCCCGTTATTATGAACGTAGCCAATAATAAATGTATGTCTCACAATGTATATTGTGAAAATGTGACTTTTAAAAAAAAAAAAAACATGTGACCGTCCAGTAGGTGATTTCCATTTCTGAAGTGTTTTTTATTTTCGCTTTGTACCTTTACTTTTTATCAATAAAATCTTCTCTTTTCTTAAAAAGAAATGTGACCAGTCGGTGAATGTGTGGATGTTCTAATTTAATGCATATACGGATCAAGTACGGACGTGTTTGGCATTTAGCGACTAGCAGTTAGAAGATTATGTTAGCAGGTTGTTGGTGTAGTGGATTCAGTCAGCGGGTTTGACTGACGAAATAAGTAGTTTGACTGTAAAAAGATGTTTGATAATATAGTTGTTTAAAGTATGCAATATTACATTACCGAGTTCTTTGGTAATTACACCCTAATATCCTCTTTAATACAAAAGAATTGAACCAACAAAACAAAGAAACATGCTAAATCTATTACAGACTAATTATGCTTAGCTTATCTCTGTATTTCTTGAACTTGTCAATCTTCAAGGCTTTAGTGAATATGTATGCAATCTGCAAATCTGTGCATCAATGTCTCATGATGATTCTTCCTTGACTAGCTTGATTTCTTGTGAAATGAAATCTAGTTTCAATGTGTTTGCTTCTTCTATGTGATATTGGATTATTGGCTAAGTTAATTGATGATTTGTTGTCAACAAATAACTCAACTGAACTTACCAATTACTGATTTAACTCCTTCAACAAGGATAATAGCCATAATCCTTGACAACTTGTATAACAGGATGCCATATACTCACCTTCACATGCAGACAAGGCTACCGCATCCTATTTAGTAGAACTCCACGATACTAGTGTGCTAGCTCCCTAAGAAGAATACATATCCCATAGTACTCCTTTTGTCTACCTTGTCTCCACACCACTTCGAGTCCGAATAACCAATGATCTTCAACAACAGTATGTCTGACTCGGTTATAGTAAACAAAACACCATACACAATAGTCCTTTTCAAATACCTAAGTATTCTTTTGGCAACAGATGGGTGAATTTGTCTACGATCACCCATAAATCTGTTAACTAAACCAACTCCAAATAGAATTTCAGGTCTGCTTTGACATAGAAATATCAAACACCCAATAAGTTGTCTGCACGTAGTAACATCTACATGAGATTCATGCTCACATATATCAATCTTGATATTTACTTCAATTGAAGTTTCAACAAATTTACACATCTCCTTATCAAACCTCTTCAGCAGCTGAGACACGTATCTTTTTTTATTCATCAAAATTTCTTGTTTTACCTGATGAACATAGTATTGAGTTTATCAACTTCAAACGTACTGCTCCCTGTTATCGATAAGTCATCCATATACACACATGATCACAATTATTTCAGTATTGACATTCTTAACATATACTCCATGTTCAACTTTGCACTTTTTAAAGTGACTACTAGCAAAAAATAAATAGTGATCATATTGTTCCAAGCCCTTGGTGTTTGTTTTAAGCCACATGGTGCCTTTTTTAGGCGCGACGCTTGATTTTCTTTGCATTTAAGCTCAAAACTTGGGTGCTGCTGTAA